TCAAACAGCAACTGCTGGAACAGAGCATGGCTAAACACGTGCTGCCTGCACAGAATGAAAGGAAGGCCTTTCACTGCTTGCAGAGCGGGGGAGGCGCCTGGCGCGGTTCTTCTGCACCCATTTTCTAGCCTGAATTTCCTTACACCAAGGAGTGGGAGAACACTGCAGAAGAGGACTTGGCCATGGCAGACCCAAGAAGGCAGCGGGCTACCATCAGCATAGAAAATGTGGACAAGAAAATTGCACTAATCCTCAGGACAGTTGCTTAGCTGCAGCCACATGGGAAGAAAGATACCAGCTATGCACTGCAAAATATGATGTAATGCTTCTTCACTGAAATAAGCATCCAGTGGAGTACCTGTGAAAAACAAGAAGAAGCCCACTTTTCTTTGCTTTCAATTCTTCCTCTTAAAACCCATATCCTTGCAGCTTTTTTAAATAAAAAAATTCCCTAACAGATTTTTTTGGGGGGTGGAGAGAAGAGAAGGACAAGAGGGTCGAGATGGGTGCTGCTGCTACTATACCCTCAAACCAACCTTGGCGATGGAAAAGGTTGTCAGCAGCGCCTGAATACCGACAATAGATTCCCCCCCCCTTCTTCTTTTTCATGCCCCATTTGAAAGGTTTCCATAGGTGACCAAAACAGAGCTGGGGACAATTTGCGACGCTGGGGAAATGGGGGCAAGAGAGGGAGAAGAAGCGCATGCACTTCTGTGGGGTAGTAGGAACCTTAACCCCCCCCAAAAAAAATAGATTATCAGACGCCCCCTTCCCCAAGGCAGGTATTTCGGGGGTGCGTGTGGGATAAATAGGGGATGCCCTTAAAGGACAGCGCGCCCCTGCGCCTTTCCACCCCCTAAATGAAGCCAAAGCCGCCCGCGCCTTGCCCCAAAGGGGCTGCTCCTCGGGTGTCCCCTCAGAGGTCGAGTTCCCGCTGCGCCCGACCCCTCCCCGCTTTAACCCGGCACCTTGCCGCCCGCTACTCACTTGAAGGTGTGCTCAGAGGTCCAGATCTTCATCGCGGCGGCCGGAAGAGGAAGATGGAGGCGTGGGGGGGGGGTTGCCTCTCGGCAGCCTCGGTTTCCTTCAGACGCCCCCCGCGCCTCGCGACGCCCTTCCGAGCCGCCCGCCCGCCCAGCCTGACTGACGGATCTGAGAAAGGACTGAGGCGGAGGGGGAGGGGACGAAAAGAGCCGGGTGACCGTTCCCCTCCTGCCCTCAAGTGCGCCTGCTCCGCCCGTGAGGGGGGGGGAGTGGGAGGGGCGAAGCACCTAGGGAAACGTCTGATAGGGCGGCGTCCTATTCACCGGCTGGGCGACGTCAGAACTGAAGCCATCCTGCCTTCGGCTACCTTGAGAGCGAAGGGGGCCTCGGGCGCCGGCGGGGCGCGAGCCGCACTAGCGCGCGTGCGCACCATCCCAACGGTTTCTACGCCCGCGCGCCTGCGCGGTGGCAAGACCCTCGATGACGTCCCCCTGCCCCATTTTGCTGAGGTCCTCAGTGCTGCATGGGGCAGGGGGAGGCCTGGCACCACCACGATTATGTTCCCAGCTGTATTTATTTTATTTATTATTATATTTATATCCCGCCTTTCATTCAAGCAGCTCAAGGTGGCGTTCTTCCACCGCTTTTCACACCCCCCCTACAACAACAACCCTGTGAGGTAGGCTAGGTTGTGCTACTGTGACTGGAGTGGGGTTTTTAAAGCCTGGATAAAAACGCTGATCAGGACACCTGCTTGCAATAAAATTACAGGTAATGGGTTTCCCAGTCGGGGAAATATAAATAGGCCCAGAAGCAAGGGTGGTGCGATGTCAGTTTGATGTTGGGTCCGAGTGTCTGGCAAATGACCCTGGTTTGAAACCTCAGTGACCTTGAGCCAGCAAATTGCTCTCAGCCTGTCCTACCTCAGGATTGTTCAGAGGATAAAATGCTCAGGCATAGGGGAGAACCAAGTATGCTGGATAAAAGTGTGAGATGGAGTGTTGTTGTGTAGTCGTTTAGTCGTGTCCGACTCTTCGTGACCCCATGGACCAGAGCACGCCAGGCACTCCTGTCTTCCACTGCCTCCCGCAGTTTGGTCAGACTCATGTTTGTAGCTTCGAGATGGAGTAGGAGGAACGATTAGGCGCTTTGCTAGGAGAGCAAGTCTTCAGAGAACTGTAGAGGGACAAATTGTGAATGCACAAGATTTATTTGAATTTGCTTCCAAAAACATAAAGGGAATTCAGGTGTTTTTCACACCATCAGCTGAGGTGGGTGCAAATGAAGAATTCCTGAAGGGACAGTATTAGATTTCATTATCAGTAGGTGGCACCAGAAAGAACCACTTCTTCAAACCATTGGACATAAGAACCCTTTTGGTGAAGCGGATTTCAGTTTCTGACAAATGTTTGAAAGCCACTGTTGGTGATAAAACCAAAGAACTAGTCAATATTATTCCAGTTCTGTTACTTCCGGGTCACCGCGGAGCACAACCCGAAAATGCTCAACCTGAAGCATATTCATCCCGAGGTATGACTGTACATAGTTATCCCATTCTACAAAAAAAGTATGATATATGTGTTAGTTGTGGTTTGCGAGCTATGGCTTATCAGACCTACCAGGAATAAAATGACAAAAAATCACTTTGAAAGGTTGGTGACCCTTTTCTGTGGCACTTAATACCATCTTTGTACCTTATTTTGAAAGAGGCCACAATTAGCTTTATTTTGATACCAAAATAAGCCAAATTGGTTGAAAAATAAGTGAAACAGGAGGTTTTTTCTAAACTGATGCAGAAATTGCATTAGCCTAAATCGCGTGAAAATCAACATTTTAAAGAAATTCTCCTGTGCCCAATTTTGGATTGGACCAAAAAAATCTTACAAAATTAATTTGAGGTTATCTCATAGGTATTTACACATAATTTTTTTTTAAAAAGAAAATTTGAGTCGTGAGATCACGGTTGAGTATTAAAATCAGGTGATTTGGCGTGGAATGACCCTCTTGCCATCCTAACTGGTGCACAGAAGGTTATGCTACTGTAAAAACGTTAGCATTTAAGGTACTGCAGCACTCTTGTTTGAACTACAACAGACTAACACAGCTACCAATAACAGGTATGACATTACTATGGCATCTGGAATGTTACTTGAAAGGAGTCTGCTTTGAGGAATGCAAATACTTCTGGGTGGCTTGGACAATAAAAATAGATGGCTGTGGGGAGGAAGAACCAGTTTTTATTTTATTTGGAATACAGAAACCAGATTGCATAGTTATATTGGGCAACAATTAAAAAAAAAATTGCTAAGTTAATCCTCTATACTCTTCCTTGAGGAGGACAGCCCTGAAATACTGTAGGCTCGTTGCAATATATCAATTAGCTTTAAAGGAGGTTATTGGAAGAACACAACTTTGCAGCGCCCTAAACAACCACAGGTAAATAGTCCCCTGGAAGCATACTACCAGGCCAAGGTAATGCTGTTTGTGGGCAGGTGGTTTTAACATTACTTTTTAATGCTTACATGTAACCTGTTGTTACAAGTACTGTACAGGAAAATGTGACATTTTCAGAAAAGAATTTTAAAATGTCCACAATATGTTCTTACTATTGTAACCCCTATGGAATTACCTGTGGGAAAGGTTTAAGGGTAGCGGGTCAAGAAGCCTCCCATTTCTTATTTATCATCTCTTCTAGACACTTTGGGTCTGGGATATTGTGTCGTTCTGCTTGGCTTTTAAGTCTGGTGTCTAAGGCTGTATTCACAGGTGGTATTGTTCATGTGAGTTATTTGGCGTGTCATCAGCATTCTTCCACAGATGCTTCACATACTTGAGAGTGGAGTGCAGTCAGAACAGAACTTGCCAACTTCTAAAAACCACAGTAGGGCAGTGCCTTTATTAGGCTAAAAATGTCATCAAATAGTAAGCAAGCCTTTTGAGTTCTACAGAGCTCCTTAGTAGGTTGGATATCAAGCAAAGGTAGAAGAAAGGAGAATAGGAAAGCAGGCTGAAATTGAAGCCACAAAGTCTGAATTGTTCCTAGTCTTCAGATGCATTTCAGCACCTATATTAGGGTAATACCTTTATTTTGTAGAAAGTTTGTAGGCATTTTAATTCCTTTTAGTCTATTGTGGTTTTAACCTTCTGTATGTTTTAAACTACGGGAGTAAATATTTTAGTGATATTCTTATTGTTTCATCCAGCAGTATATAAATTTTATGAAATAAAACTAGAAATAAATTAGACCTAATATGGTTTTTCAATTTATTTTTTAAAAAACTAGGCCAGTACAACTACCATTTGTTTTTAAGATGATATTCAGGAAGAGATGGCTGACCTTGGCCACTTCTAGCATCTAGTAGAGACCACTGACAGAGAACCATTTTTACTAAGTGCTGCAGTCCTTCCAGACTGTCATCCGAGGACCACATGCCAGAGGTGCATAGGGCAGGAGTCAAAAGTGGACAGATCAGTGAATGCAAATAGTTCTTCCTTCTGATTCTTTGCTTCTCACTTTTGTAAATATCCGATTTACTGCTGGCTTTGTATTTTCAAAGGAAGAGTGGCCAATTGTCCCATCGCAGTAGCCCTTGATGGAACCTGAAATCATTTTGCACCTAGTACAACCTGTCCTAACTAGATACACATAACACCTTGTGTCTTCTGTCTTAAGACTGTTGCAAAGCAAATGTTTGGCCTTTTCATTATATCTTGAACCCTCCACCTTTCCTTAAAAACTGAACATCTAATTCTGACATAAGTGTTCTGGAGCACTTGAAAGCTTTCTCAATACTAAAACACTTAAGTTGGCCGCAGTACAATAAGGTACATTGGTACCTCGGGTTAAGTACTTAATTCATTCCGGAGGTCCGTTCTTAACCTGAAACTGTTCTTAACCTGAAGCACCACTTTAGCTCATGGGGCCTCCTGCTGCTGCCACGCTGCTGGAGCACGATTTCTGTTCTCATCCTGAAGCAAAGTTCTTAACCTGAGGTAATATTTCTAGGTTAGTGGAGTCTGTAACCTGAAGCGTATGTAACCTGAAGCGTATGTAACCCGAGGTACCACTGCATGTGCTTCGACATCAATTCTTCAACATAGTGATCCTGAGAAAGCTCTGCATACTTAAACATTAGCTCTGGACCATCTTTCCAACTTGCCACTAGATTGAAATTCATTAGCAAGTGTTTATTTCTTTAAAATTATACAAAGTTTAAAATTATACAAAGTTTAGCTTTTTTTCTTCCTCATTATATCAGTTCATAAAAGTTCCACAGTTAACAGTAAATTTACAAGCTAAGTAGTGACAATAATTCTTTGTAAAAGAGTGGTTTAGGAGGGATGGGAACTTGTGGCCTTCCAGATGTTGTTAGACTCCAACTCCCATCGTCTTAAGTCAGTATGGCCGATGGTCAGGGAAGATAGGAGATGGATTCCAACATCAGCTGCTGGGGCACTGGCTTCTCACACCTGGTTTAGCAGAAAGCAGAAGCTTGATATTCTGGTTCAGCTGCTGTCTGACATTGCAACCAACTAAAAAGACAGATGCACATGTGGAGTAATCAACAGCCTTCTGGATATACACTGGCATTTACTCTTCTGTTTCATTGTAGACAGGCGGCAAGATTCTCCTAGAGTTGGCCTTAACCCATGGGTGCGCTATTATTTCTTTCAAGGGAAGCCGCAGGGAAGGTGTACGGTTGAGTACTTTGGATATTAGGTCCTTGGCTCCATCTGACACCCAAGAAGGGAATGAAAAGTTAACCTTGGAAGAAAAGAATGTTTTAAGTTACATTTTCTTATGAAGCTAGTTGTGTCTTCTGCTTTTTTTAAAAAAACTTGAATGCATTACCCAAGTGCCAGTTTATCTGCTTCTCCACCCCCATGCAGCTTTCCTATCTGCACATCAGCTTTGCCCTAAGATGCTCATACTGTTGGACAAGGACCTTGTCAATTATGTATCTTGTACAGCACTTCTAGAAATAGGGTTATGTTAACTGCCATCCCTCAAAGGGCAACATGTCTGTGGGGCTATGGTCAGGGTATAAAAGGTAAAAAAGGTAAAGGACCCCATGGCAGTTAAGTCCAGTCAAAGGCGACGATGAGGTTGCGGCGCTCATCTTGCTTTCAGGCCGAGGGAGCTTGCCTTTGTCCACAGACAGCTTTCCGGGTCATGTATATGTACCAGCAGCCACACACTAGGCATGTGCATCCATTAAACAAGCAGTACACACACACACTCACCAAACACGAAGTCTCTCAGAACTCTGGTATACACACACATTTATTGCTCTTTCCACTCCAGTGTTGCGGGTGGGAGGAAACCCTGCCTTTTACTCTTTCAAGAACAGGCAGAGGGCTCATCTTCAGTCTTAGCACTGTGGCACTTAGTGCTAAGATCTGAGATCAAAGGACTTATCTAAAAAGGCAGCCAGGGGCTCTTTTATTTCCTAATTGGAAGATTAAGCATTCTGTGTGCCCTTTAAAAATTGCTCTCTGAATAATAGAGGATGTTATCTCCTAACTAGATTTTGAGAAAAAAGCATCGGGCTGGCAGCCCACATGACCTGGCAAGATGGGGGCAGATCTTGATTGTGGGTTAGCCACCCTGGCTCATGGCTCTTAAGCTTGATGCTATAACCTAATGTGCCCATTCAAGTCTCAAGGATAAACCATCAAGATTTGGGCCCAAGTTTCAAGCTGTAGATTGCAAATACCATTTAATCTCAAAGCTTTTTGTTCAGAAGAACATACCTCTTTTATTCTTCTGAAAGTCTCCATCTGTGTTGGTGCTTCAAATGGTGCATATCCTGTAAGACACTCGTAACAAAGGACACCAACGCACCACACATCAACATTCTCACTGTGTGGACTCCCCTCTATCATTTCTGGAGCAAGGTAGTCTGCAGTGCCACAAAATGTTGTCCTCCTTTTTTTAAAAAAAAAAATGGGTTCAGTTTAAAATTGCCAGTTGAAATCCAGTTTAAAATGGGTTCACTTTTAACAGGACACATTATTCTCCCAACCAAAGCATGAATTTTGCTGACCCTATTCCGCATTTCACAGTTGCCAAATAGAAATTTAGCAGGTGAATTTTTTGCTCACATGACTCTTCCCAACAGTATTGAATTCTTAAAAATATATATGTATACATACCTAAGCGATGGAGCATGCACTGACCATCCAAAGTCTGCCAACTTCAGCTCCCCTCTTAATCCTAACAGGAGGTTTTCTGGCTTAATATCTCTATGGATCACTTTTAGAGCATGGCAGTACATCAGAGCATCAGATATTTCTTCCATATACTGTAGATGTATGATGCGCAGAAAATAAAAAAAGAGGTAAGTTAATTCTGGCTGTTAACCAAGACTGCATGCAACTGTACATAAATGTAGCAGTGAGACTGGATTAAAAGTGCACTCACTGCTACTGTAATGTACAATAAGGTTCCCTCTGTGAGTCTGGGGAGAAAACTTACGGTTTTCCCACTGTAGAAAGAGTTGGGTTTACACAGCGCTGATTGGCCAACCATTGTGTCAGTAGCAGAAAAAAATCCCTGGAATAGGGTGTTGCACAGGAGAGTTACAAGGGCAAAATAGAGAGGCTTGGAGGGCTATATTTTGTCCCGTGGCGTAAGGTACTTGACCATTGCACGTGATGCTCTGACCCCACCCACTTGTGATTTGTCTCCACCTGCCACTGGTAGGCAGACTCCAACCTCTCCCCCCCCCCAGCCAAGATAATGTGGCTTTTGGCGATTCTCATCCTTAAGCTAGAACTTCATTTGGAGAACAACTAATGGGGTCTGGAAGTAAATATTAAATTCAGTGCACCTCCTCTTCTCAAAAGGAATCTCTTTAGTCCACTTCTTCAACTGAAACAAAGTCATAAGGAACTTAAATCTGTGGTCACAGGGGATGACCTTAAAGTCTGCTGTGTCTGAAGTTTGGGTGCAACTCAGTTTGCAGAAAGAGGTTTGTATGGAGTTTGAACAGATAAAAGGACTTGCAGATTCCCAGACTATCCCTGTACTTTTAACCTCTTTGCTAACTTTACAGTTTAGATTGATACATTTTAGGTTGCATCCTGTTTACAACTTCTTTCTCACACTTGCATTGAGTATGAGGCCATCCTTGATGTATCTTCTGAGAGCAAAGGGGCAAGTATGGCTTCTTTGTTTCTCCAACTAGTTAGTTAGCTAGGACTATAGAATTCTTTCCTTTCCAGAATGTCCTTCTGTTAATAAGCATAAGCTTTCTTATTTTATACTCCGTCTCAATCTGATTACCTTCCAATGAAAGGCATGCTCTAGTCAAAGACTCCTCTCACTAAAGGCAACTTCTGCTGTCGCATAAAAACGCCATATGCTAACAGGCTGGACCTTAAGCACTGGTGCAATGGGCTATGCCATCCTCTATGCCCAAATGTCCTTCTCCATCTCTGAAAGCCATGGCTTGGTTATTTCACAATGTTTGGGGCCAGTCAAAGCTGCTTCAACATCATAGACGGTATGTTGGTTTGCAGCTGCAGAACCAAATCAGAAGACAACACAGACACACATAAACGGGCTTTGCTTTGCTCTCCTCACAATACATTTACCTACCAGGTTTTCTTTAAGGAATATCTACACCCTCTGAGGCACATTAGGCCAACAAACAGGGTTGGTTTACCCATGAGGTGGACTGAAGCAGCCACCTCGGGTGACTGAATCCCCAGGTGGCAAAACGGGAAAGGCTGCCCTGCCAATAAATATTGACTACTCCAAGCTCACCAGCTATATGTTCTATGTTTTGCATTACTTCGTCTCCAGCCAGCTCCTCCCATAGAGCAGTAGCCTTTGCATTTGTACTCACAGTGGCTGTTCTGATGTCATCAAAGTGTGTTTTCTTCTGTAGCTCCTTGTACAGTTCTCCTCCTGGAGCATATTCCAACATGAGAAAAACCCGGGTCTGGTCATGGAAGTAGTTATACATCCTTAAGATATTTGGGTGTCTAGGCAGTTTTTTTGTTTAAAGGAAAAAAGGAGAGGACCTGTGGTTTAGGTCACATAAGAAGTAAGCCACTGTGATAGGTAGACAAAGTATACAAGGTCTACAAATGAATGTACTAAGCAGATACCCAAATTGCCCCATCCAGGAAGAAGATACTATTGAGATACAAGTTGCATTTGGATCAATCAATGCATGCTCCCTTGGAAGCAAATCTCCATTATGTTCAGTGGGGCTTACTCTTAGGCAGGTGATTGCAGCGGCAACCATGGATGTCCTCCTGGTGTCCTCCAGATGTTTTGGACTACATAACATCTACATAATGTTTAGAGGCTTTCCACGTTTTGACAGATTTAGCATAGAGCAGGTATGCAGACCGCGTGGTCCTCTAGATCCTGATGGACTACAGTTCTTCAACATGCTCAACCATAGCAAGGTTCCTTAGCTCAGTGATAAGCATCTGCACTGCATGCAGAAGGCCCTACCTTGTAGCTGTTATGATGCTGATGCTCATGAATTAGTTACCGTATTTTTTGCCCTATAGGACGCACCTAGCTTTTTTGGGGGGAAATCAAGGAATAAAATTTTATTTCCCCCCCAGGTTTGCGCAGCCATCCCCAAGCTAGAAGAGGGAGACGGAGCGCTCCGTCTCCCTCTTCTACCTTCAGGGACAGCCTCTTTAGCCTCCGTGGGGCAGCGGCTTGCCCCGCTGTCCCCCGAGCTTATGGGGCTGGCGATGGGGAGAAGCAAGCTTGCTTCTCCCCCCCGCCAGCCTCCAGATCAGGTTGGGGAATAGCGGGGTGGCGGCGCTCCGCCTCCCTACTATCCCCCGAGCTTGTGGGGCTGGCGGGGGGGGGGGGAGAAGTAAGCTTGCTTCTCCCCCCCCGCCAGCCTCCAGATCAGGTCGGGGAATAGCGGGGTGGCGGCGCTCCGCCTCCCCACTATCCCCCGAGCTTATGGGGCTGGCGATGGAGAGAAGCAAGCTTGCTTCTCCCCCCCCCCCGCCAGCCTTCAGATCAGGTCAGGGAATAGCGGGGTGGCGGCGCTCCGCCTCCCGCCGGGCTTGCAAGGCTTGCGGATAGCTTCCTGAAGCCTGGAGAGCGAGAGGGGTCGGTGCGCACCGACCCCTCTCGCTCTCCAGGCTTCAGGGAAAGCCTGCATTCGCCCCATAGGACGCACACACATTTCCCCTTCATTTTTGGAGGGGAAAAAGTGCGTCCTATAGGGCGAAAAATACGGTAATTAAATTTGTTAGCCACTTTATCTTACCCAAGGAAACACAAAGTGACTTACAACCACCCAACTCACCAAACCACACAGATACATTAAAACAAAATGGGATGGGGGAAGATACATTAAAAAATCAGTGCCTAGCATCTTCAGGTGATGCTAGGAAAGACTACTGTCTGAAACTTCAGAGCTGCTGCCAGTTAACACAGACATAGTACTGGATGAACCAATCATAGAGTTGGGAGGGACCCCAAGGGTTACCAACTCCAACCCCCTGCAATGCAAGAATCTCAGCTAAAGCATCCATGACAGATGGCTATCCAATGGTCTGATTCTGTATGAGGCAGCTGCCTCTGCATTCAGTTGCTTTACCTGAGGTGACTTAAGATTTCTATTTCTCTTCTGAGCTGGTGCTCTAGCTGAGATTTTTCCAGCAATGATTTGAAAATGACTTTCAAGGCCAAGATGAAGTGAGTCTTTTTCTCCCGGGCCAAGTACACCGCTCCAAATCTCCCCTTGCCAAGTGGCTTGCCAAATTCAAAGTCTGAGGTGCCCCACATTTTCCTGTGAATCAAAGGGGGCAGTTAAAATCAATTACTAAACCAAGAGAACCATGCATTTCCTCTACCAGCATGATAATATCTGGACAATCCCCATCTCTGATGCAGCACTGCTGCCCTCCAGGATGATGAACCCACGTCAATGTGCTCAGGGGCAGGTTGGCCAATGCGCTCAGTGACCATGCTCACATCATCTGCACAGGTGCGTAGCATGTAAAGGGGGAGAACTCTGAAGACTTGGGCAGAGGTGTCGTAGGTAGTCCAGCAGGACATGCTGGAGTAGACTGACACGTAAATGCTAGGCAGTTTTCTTATGACTGATCAGGAGCATTATGATTCAAATATGCCACTGAGAAGATTAAACAAACATCCATCAAGATATTGCACCTGTAAAGAAACTAGAAGAAAGGCAAAGGTTGACAAAAGGTACAGAACCACAGAAAAAAGCATGATGTGTGTACAAGATACACCTAGTTTCTAATTCGATATCAAAGCCATTCTTAACTGCAACATGGCAGAAGATTCCTCCAGTGTAATAGTCATCACCAGACACTTTTAAATAGTTACCTGGGAAGCAGAGAACCAGAGTCACGTTTGGCATTTGCTTGAGATGCATTTTCTTGAGATGCATTTTCTTCTGCAACAACAATTGCGCCAACTTAGAGGCATAATGTGATGGGCAGTAGTTATAGATCTAGTTAAAATAATTTTCATGTAACTGAATTGCTGTACAGTGGACCCTCCAAATATGAATTACAGTGGTACCTTGGGTTACATACGCTTCAAGTTACATACGCTTCAGGTTACATACTCCACTAATCCAGAAATAGTGCTTCAGGTTAAGAACTTTGCTTCAGGATAAGAATACACTTCCTGGTTTGCCGCATTCATAACCCGAAAGTTCCATATCCGGAGCGGTACATAACTAGATGGTCCACTGTATACTTAACAAGTACTTTTTCAAAAGCTGTTCAGACTATGTAATTGAACTGCTTTTGTTTGTCCTTAACTAGCATAATTTAAGAATTATTTTCCTCCATTTGGGAGGGGGCAAACTTGCTTATATAACTCGCTATCATACTGAAAGCTCTATATAACTACAAACAGAAATACACAAAACCAGTCACTAAGAAGAAAACAAGCATGTTTGAAATTATCAGCAGAAAGGTGTGGCGATCTCCACCCATTCCATGACTACCACTCATAGTTGCTCTGCCTACAATAAAAACACATACACACATAGTGACATAGCTTTATAAAAGCAATCCAAGACTAAAGGTTGCCCATGTTTGCTGCTTCACTCTCAGCATCTTTATTCAGGGTGTTTTTCTACATAAGCAGCTAAGGAGTTCTTGTTTCAATTAGCTTTATCAAGTGAATGCAAAAATCTAAATTACAAATGTTTCTCCTCCACAAACAGTGCAAGAGGCTCCAAGGTGATTTAAGCCTCCCGAGGAAACACTAAATTGCACTGCAGTGGTTTTACAAAAGCATTACAAACCAAACATTACTGTTAATATGCTGGAAGGTATGCCGTTGTTTCTCTGCTTACAGGATTGCTATCGTAAAACACAGCTTAAGAGAGAAGGGAGCAATAAGGAAATCTGTGTACTGGCACATAATTTTGTACTAAAGGAGGAGAGAATTAGAGAAATATAAAAGCAATCAAGACAGAAAAAATATCTCCAGTTCTGGAAAGAACTAGTCAGTGCAGCACTAAGAACACAAGGAGTACTGGATGAGGCCATCGGTTTCAGCATCTTGTTCTCTATAGGAAGCCTGCAAGCAGGACCCGAGGGCAACAGTACTCTCCCTTCAGTTTCCAGCAACTGGAATTCAGAAGCTTAATGCCTCCGACAGTGGAGATTGAACATAGTCATCAGAGTTAGGAGCCATTGATTGCCTTATCCTCCCTGAATTTGTCTTTTCCTTTGTTAATGCTATCCAAGTTGCTGGCTATCACAGCCTCTTATGGGAGCAGATTCCATAGTTTAACCATGCGCTTGGGAAGCAGGACAGAAGAAAGATATCCTAAAGAAGACATGAAGAAGCAGAAGACAAGGAACAGAGCCAAGAAATGCAAGAGTGGACCTCAAATTTCCTACACAGTCCTCAGGAAAGGAGTAACTAATTCATCTTGCCTCTTGCCCTTGAAGCACAAGGGAAGCCATCTTTTCCTACTAAGTTTGGGCCCTATTGGGATGAGAGGTGGAAGTTGCATCATAAGGGGGAGGAAGCTCAGGCAGAATGAGGCAGTTACCTCAGGAAGCTTATTTTGAGTATCATGAAAAGGCAAATTGCTCGTTATTTCATTTATTATTGTTCCCCCAATGAGATACGTTTATGAAATTCTCTGCTGCAAAGTGCTGAAATAACTTTTTCAGCCACGACATTGATGCAACTGATTGGCACGATGTCTCCATTTTGCTTAACGGATACAAATGTCGGGGGGCCACCAGGTGGCGCGTTGGAAGATGGCCGACAATAACATCTCTCTGACCCATACGAGGTAATTAAGGGCCTGCTATGGGAAGTATGCAGTCTTCCTACCCCCCCAGGAGATGGGGGGCACTGCCTTGCCAGCGGTGTTCACAATGCACCCCCTGATCGAGAGATGGGGGTGTCGAACACTTGGCACGAGCTCTCGGTGAAGTCAGATCTTCCTGACGCCGATTCCAATTAGCGCGTGCTGGTTAGCTTCGGCTCAGAATTATAATTGGAAACATACGATTGGAATGAAGCTGAAGCACATATATCAAGTAATGTTCGAGAGATAAGACTGCTGATTAATGGATCTCTGTGACCGGGAGTGACGGATGGATAAGTAAATCTTCTGATGAATCACCACTAGGAGACTGTATGTTTGTAATGAAGGGGGGGTGGAGGGAAAAACTTTTTTTTCCTTTGCACAATGTGATATTAATAACCCTTCACCCCAGATAGAAATAAGATCGTTGCGTTTTTATTAATCACAAGCAGGAATTTAAGAACTGTGTGGGCTGGATTATAACAGGAGAGAGGATTGGTGAACGGTGAGAAAGAGTATTGACCTCAATACTGGAACAAACATAGAAGTGGTGTGGGACGCCAGCAAAGCGGTCCTAAGAGGCCTTTTCATCCAGCAAAACAACTACAAGAAAAAAATAAGACAGCAAAAGAAGGAAGAAATTCTTAAACAGCTAAAGGAGAACGAGAAAAAACTAATAGTAAACCCAAAAGATGAACAAAGTCTACAGACAATAAAATTATTACAAACACAATATTCAATGTTAACGAATCAAGAGATTGAAGGTAAAATTAAGATGATGAGGCAAAGATATTTCGAGTCAGTGAACAAAACCGGAAAATTTTTAGCGTGGCAACTAAGGAAAAAACAAAAACAGAATGTGATAAATAAGATAATGGTAGGGGAAGAACTGATAGTGGATCCAAAAAGAATACAAAAAAACTTCCTCAATTTCTACGAGCAGTTATATAAGAAAGGAGAAGAAGATCCAATCCAAATAGAATGGTACCTAGAGAACTGTAAAGGGAAGATCATTACAGAAGAAGAAAGACACCAATTAAATAGACCCATAAATATAGAGGAGATCCAAAATGCGATGAAAAAAATGAAATTGGGGAAAGCACCAGGGCCGGATGGTCTATCGGCCAAATACTACAAAGTTTTGGGGAACCAGCTGTCAACCGCGCTATGCGACACCATGAATAACATTATAAGAGGAGGGAAAATACCTGAATCTTGGAGAGAAGCCTTTATAACATTAATTCCCAAGCCAGACACAGACAAACTGAACATCAAGAACTACAGGCCAATATCCCTGCTAAATAACGACTACAAAATCTACTCTGATATTATGGCAAGTAGACTGAAAAAGTGCTTAACAAATCTAATTCATAAGGACCAAGCGGGGTTTCTACCTAATAGATTTCTGAAAGATAACGTGAGGCACGTTATCGATATAATAGAATACTTGGAGATTAAAAATGAGATACCTGCAGCTTTAATCTTTATAGACGCAGAAAAGGCGTTCGATAACGTCTCTTGGCCGTTTCTATTAAAAACCATAGAAGGGGCAGGGATAGAGGGCGAATTCCTGAAAGGAATACAGGCGATATATTCAAATCAATTTGCCAAATTGGTCATAAATAACAACCTAACAAGTACATTTAAAATTGAGAAAGGAACGAGACAGGGATGCCCTCTCTCCCCGCTCTTATTCATAATGGTTCTGGAAATCCTGGCGAATAAGATAAGATCAAAGCCAGAGATTCAAGGGATCAAATTAGGCTCAAAAGAATACAAACTAAAAGCCTACGCGGATGACTTGATACTATCTTTGGGAGAACCGCAAGAAAGCATCGATAAAGCGCTGGAGACATTAGAGGAATACGGGAAACTATCAGGCTTTAAATTAAACAAATCAAAAACAAAAATGCTGACAAAAAATTTGGACAATGATGCGAAGGAGAAATTAGAGAGGGAATTTGGAATTAAAGTGGTTAATAATAATAATAATAATAAATTTTATTTATATCCCGCCCTCCCCAGCCGAAGCCGGGCTCAGGGCGGCTAACAACAGTCAAATAGTCAAACAGTCAAATTCTAAAAACATTCTAAAAACATTCCATTATAAAAATTAATTAAAATCAAATTGTTGGCAACCGATTAGGCAAAATTCTGTGCAGGTTGCCAGAGGAGGGAGTCAGGCTGCGCCCTGACCAAAGGCCTGGTGGAACAACTCTGTCTTGCAGGCCCTGCGGAAAGATGTCAGGTCCCGCAGGGCCTTAGTCTCTTGTGACAGAGCATTCCACCAGATTGGAGCCGCCGCCGAGAAGGCCCTGGCTCTAGTTGAGGCCAGCCTAACCTCTCTGAGGCCTGGGACCTTGAGGATGTTGTTATTTGCAGACCGTAGGTTTCTCTGTGGGGCATACCAGGAGAGGCGGTCCCGTAGGTACGAGGGTCCTAGGCCGTATAGGGCTTTAAAGGTTAAAACCAGCACCTTAAACCTGATCCTGTACTCCACCGGGAGCCAGTGCAGCTGGTATAGTACCGGATGAATGTGATCTCGCAGCGAAGACCCCATAAGGAGTCTCGCCGCGGCATTCTGCACCCGCTGGAGTTTCTGGGTCAGTTTCAAGGGCAGCCCCACGTAGAGCGAGTTACAATAATCCAGTCTGGAGGTGACCGTCGCATGGATCACAGTGGCTAGATCAGGGCGAGAGAGATAAGGGGCTAACTGCTTAGCTTGGCGGAGATGAAAAAATGCCGCCTTTGTTATAGCTGTAATCTGCGCCTCCATAGAGAGGGAGGTATCGAAGATTACACCCAAACTCTTAACGGACGATGCTGGCACTAATTGCACCCCCGCAAGAGATGGGAGTTGCCCCCTCGATCCCATATCGTCCCGCCCCAGCCAGAGGACCTCTGTCTTCGAAGGATTTAACTTCAACCGGCTCCCACGTAACCATCCAGCCACAGCTTCCAGACATCTGGTCAGTGTGTCTGGGGCCGAGTCAGGATGGCCATCCATCAACAGATAGAGTTGGGTGTCATCAGCATACTGATGGCAACCCAGCCCAAAACTCCGGACAAGCTGGGCGAGGGGGCGCATAAAGATGTTAAAAAGCATTGGG